GAAAAGCACCTCTGGTCAGAAACTCACCAGAAGACCATGTGAAGGCTCTTCAAGAGCATGAGATGAATGATTTTGATGCTTGTCTAGTCGAGAAGAAGAGGAAGGAATCAATGATCAAATTTCGCCACAGTGCACATGGAGAAGGTGAACCCTCTACTGCCAATGATCTACCTCTGGTCATGGAAAAACTTATCAAAGAATGGAGAGACTCTCTGTTCACAGAAACAATACTAGAGGTAATTCCCCCAATCATTCCTTCTCCCCCTCCCTCTCCTAAAAACACTTCTCCCCAACCCCAACAGAAATCCCCCTCACTCCCACAGAAAACCATCTCTGCACAGAAAACCCCTTCACACCAGAAACCCTCCACCCCCAAATCTTCATCTCCTTCACACTGCAAACCGTTCTCTCCTCCCAAGAATAAATCACCATCCCCTCAAGGACAAATTATCCCTTACCAACACCAACAGATCATCTCCTCTACAACTTCACCCCAACAGAATACCTCTTCACCCAAAACCAAAAATCCATCTCCCTGCAAATCCCCACCCTCAGTCAGATCCAGATCACCATCACCTCCACCCTCTCCTCCACAACAACAGCATGCTCCCTCACATCAACAAGAAAACCTCTCCATCAACAAATCCAGAACTGCTTCTCCACAGCCTACACCACAAGATGCAGCCACACCTATCTCCCCTCAACACTCTGTGGCTTCTACCCCCATCAGGAAACCTATCTTCAGGGTGCCCTCCTCTTCCAGTGACAATGATGGATTTCTTACATCCTCCATTGCTGCTGATGAAACTTCCAAAAGGAGGAAGACCCCTCCTCAGAGTGGAGAACAACCCAGAAGGCCTCCTATGCCTAAATCAAGAGGTCTAGGTATGCCTGGGAAAACAGAATCCAAAGAAGATAAGCCTCAAATCTCCTTCAATCAGTTTGTCACTGCAGCTGAAGACTTTGGTGGTAAAATGCTCGATGGCATGGATCAATTGGCTGAGATCAACACCAAGCACCATGAACATCTCACCTTCGTTCACAATCATCTTGAGGCTGGACTTCAGCATATCTCAGAGAAGGTTGAAGCTCTGACCCAGACATTGGTCACCTTCATGGAATCATCATCTGCAAAACTTAATGCTGTTGCCAGAGAAGTGGATGGTGTCCACTCTGTTCTCTACTCCCAGTCTCAGATTCTCAACAAGCAGAGTAAGCAACTCAAGGATATAACAGAATCCCTGGACATTGTACAATGGTATGAAGACCAATCTGCTGAGAAGTTTATGCAGCTACAACTCTTGAATAATGATCACAAAGATCAAGTGGCCACCCTGATCAAGAAGGATCAAGAAAGGTATCAGAAGCTGATACTACTTGAAGCTGGCTCTCAGGACATCAAGTCTGCTCTTGATCGTCAACAGAACTTAATAGAAGGTCTGACCTCTGTCACGCAGACCTTGCCAGAAACTCTTGAGCAGATAGCCATCTCCCAGGCAACAGAGTTCCAGAAAATCGCCATGATGATCTCTGACCTGGATGATGCCAAAAAGGGGGAAAAGGAAAAGGACCCCCAACAGAAAAAATTGCCCCCTAGGCCAACTGCTGGGCCCTCATCTGATATTGACCCAACTCCTTACTTCCAGGCCTCCCAATAGAAGAAGAGAGAAGCTGGTACTTCAAGACCTTCTTCTCCTCGCAGAGGTTCTACCAAGAAGAAGAAAGTTTTCAATTTCACTGAGTGGAGATTGGGTGGCTCTCAGAAAATTGACAGAGCTCAATTTGAAGAGATGAAGGCTAAAATGACTCCTACCCAACAACAGCACCTCTATCTGGACAAAGATGGTGTTGTCAGAGTTAGGTATGGAGGATCTCTTGAAGAAGCAGAAGAATGGTACAAGAAGAATATTGTCCCAGGGAAGACCATACATGAAGGTGTCCTTAACTATTTGGACTGTAAGCTCTCTCCTATATGGGCATCTTATCAAAGGTCTGACAATCTGGTCAAAATCAGAGCTGAAATAAACGAAGAACTGCTCAGGCTTCAAAGACTAGAGGAAGAAGCTCTACAGGCAGCTAATCTGGAGAATGTGTAAGGTTTAAACCCTGTAATATCTATCTAATAAAATCACATCCCTGCCTTCTAACTTTGAAGTGCTTTTCCTCAAATTCTTGTCTTTTTGCCTTCTGCTTGTGTTTGTTTATTTCTGTTATATTCTGCTATCTGAATGTATCGTACTCTTACTATTTTCCTATGCCAAGTTGCCCACCAAGATTTTAATGAAAAGTTTTAAACTTTAAATTTTTATGGTGAAGGCACTTCTCTGGAAATAGTTAAAGGGTTTTGGCATCATCAAAAAGGGGGAAATTATAAGGAATAATTGTATTTAGATTTTGATGATGCTATATTAATTAGGACTGTAGAGTACCCCTTTAGAAATTATGTATTAGAATTTTCCCTTGTAAAGTTCTTAGCATATTCGACTACCAGAAGGCCTCTCTACCAGAAGTCCTCCAGACAGAAGATCTTGGTTCTCTGTCTAGGAACAGAAAACGTCAGGGTCTCTGTTACCCTTTAGCGTGACAGAAACCCTCCTGGTTCTCTGTAAGCTACCAACAACAGAAGTGCTCATGATCTTCTCTGAATCAGTTCTCTGCCAATAACACCAGAAGGTCTGACACTTGGAAGAAATTCACAAAGCCGGGAAGTCAACTTAAAGATTCCTTCAACGGCTAGGAGTATGAAACGGAAAAGCTACAGTGCTCGCATTAAATGCTCATTTAATGCTCCCCATGCTCCGTGGAGTAATTGCAGATGATTGGCCGCAATGTCAGGATTACTTTATCCCGAAATAGTAACCCGCCAACTTTACCGGGTCCTACTGGTCAAGTCAATTGCTCGCGCATTAAATGCAGTTGTCCTCCTACTCCTCCAACGGGAAGACAACCTCAGTATAAAAGATACACTACGAAGAACAACCGAACAACTTTGCAACCTTGATTCAACTTTGCTATCACATTGCTACAAGCAAGACATTCAAACTCTGAAAAGCAAAAGCCTCCTTGAGATTCAAACTCATTATCCTCTACAAGAGAAGGCAGAAGTTGGAAAAATACTTTTTCCAACTCAAGCAAAGTTCCAAGTGTTCTTCAACTCTTCAAGCTCATCACATACAAATCTTTTGTAACGAAGCTAGTTGGAGGAACCCCTGTTTCAACAGAAACTCTTCTTGCTACAAGAAGGACGTCCGAATAACTGGAGTAGTGAAGTGGTGATACTTCAAAGAAACTCAGTGAAAGGACCAGTGTTAAAGGAAGCCAGGCAGTGCATCCCAGGACACATCTAGGCTTGAAGAAGACGTGGAGTGCTTCTTAAGTGCTAGGACTAAGGCTTTGTAAACGGCAGTTTTTACAGCTTAGTGGAACAGTGGATTAGAGGAACGAGTTGTTCCTTGAACCACTATAAAAATCCCTGGTGTCGTTTACTTACTGCTTTTAATACTTGCACTTAGTTAGAACTGTATCACTCCTTGGACTTGGTATCTGTGTTCATCAGAACTTGTTCTACGAGTTAACAGAAGGCCTACTGCCTTTGCTTCTCTGAGGCTAACAGAACTCCCTGCCAGAACCCCATCCGCTGCCAGTCTGTTCTTTCAACAGAACAGGTTATTCTGTAAATCTGGTACTTAGTTTAAAAAGCTAAAAACCAATACAGTCTATTCACCCCCCCTCTAGACTGTATCCAGTATAACCGGGACCAACAGTTCTTTCTAATTAATGACGGAAGGGAACAAAGATTGATTCCCGGGTAATCAAATTTCGGGACTGATCAGGCTTAATCAAATGAAAATTATTTAATTGAGCAACGCTGATCAATACTCAGTTTTTACCGCACTCACGGCGTAGAGTACAATAATTTAGGGAATCAGACTGATCTCTCATGCGACAAGTGCCTAAATTATTGCCAAAATGAGCGAGCGTACAGTCCCCTAACCGTTACTAATCTCTTAGCTAACGATTACGTGTGTGAAAGTGTCCTAGAATAAATTAGATCACTCTTAATTTATTGTATGTGCAATTATAAAATTAGCAGTTGTTATAGGTTACAAAAGATATCAATTAAATTAATCAAACACAAATTAAATAAAGATCATGCAATTAAACCATCAAAAAACTAACCCTAGATCATGATTAACCACTTCATCAATCACAAATCTCTAATTAAAACTACTCACAATTCATGATTGAAGAATCAACAAAATTGAGAAGAAAAGAATTAATTGTCATTAATTAAAAAGATGAAACTTACAAATAATCTCAAGGTCTTGAATAACAAAACGGAAAACTACTCAAAATTATATCATAGGCCTCTCTATATGCTCCATAACTGTAAAAAAGGGTTTGCAGGCTGTTTAAATAGAAAACAGATCAACCTGGGCCAAACTAGGACTGCAGGGTTGCCCGCTCGTCGTGCGGGTTAAGTCCGCTCAGCGTGCGGGTTAACGAAGATTTTCCGTAAAAATTCACCCGCTCGGTGTGCGGGTTAAGTCCGCTCAGCGAACGGGCCTTCCAATGATCACATATCCGCTCGTCTAGGGTTTTATAAATTTGAGATTATGAAAAAGTCACGCATATGAGTAGCTCAACGATGACGGGGTGAAGTTGTTGAATGATGCGCATCAGAACCTGAACTACCTTAATCATAAACCCTTTGAGATCATACGCTAACTTACTCATCCACAATTTTGTATTGGGGTATTATGAAAAAGGCCTTATATACATTTAAATATTTAATTTTCAGAGGGTATTTAAATTGAAAGAGACATGAAAAAGGGAACAAATGCATATACGAGCATACAGAGCATTTATATTTGAAAAGAAACATTGATTTGACAAAGTGGATCCCACGAAATAAAATAAGGGCATTTCTCCCGCAGGGGGCATTCACTGTTTGTTCCCTCTCTATATATAGGGAGTATCTAACCAACCGTCTCCACTAGCCCACCCAACCAACAACACCTTCTCCTTCTCCCTCTCTCTCTCGAACCAGAAAACACACTTAATTCTGCACTGAATTCCTCAATTCTTCTCATTTTCATTTCCAACTTCTCCCTCAATCTCGATGCACAAATTCAATTCTCTCTCTCTATACGTATACATTTCGTGCGTGTATCTATAGATTTGCAAATTAATAGCGACAAATCGCATTATTATACATATAAATCTGCGAAACGAAAACGTCATTTTCGGGAATTTATACAACAACCAACCCGAACCGAACCCATATAATCCTCACCCCCACCCCCACCACTCTCAGCACAGTACTATTCCCTACTGCAACAACCATCCCTCTTTCTTTTGTATGACATGTACGGATTCCACGCTCTGATTTCATCCCGATCGACAGGAGGCAGTCATCAACCGCCGTGCGCCGCCGCCGTTTCCTTTGAGGGTTCCTAATGAAATTTCTTTCGTCAGCATTCGTGCCTCCGACCACTTTTCCCCATTCTGAGGCTGCTCTGCTCTGCCGTCCTGCCATCCGGAGTTCCAGGTGGGCCCGCAGTGTCTCCGTCTCCGCCGCCTTTAGGGTTGAGAGGGAGAAGAAGGAGAAGGTCGTGGTTGTGTTAGGCGCTACTGGGTCCGGGAAATCGCGGATGTCGGTAGACCTCGCCACCCGGTTCTTTACCTCGGCGGAGGTGATCAACTCCGACAAGATACAGGTGTACCGCGGCCTCGACGTTACGACGAATAAAATGACAATGCCGGACCGCCGAGGCGTCCGCCACCACCTCCTCGGCGAGTTCGACCCTTCCGAATCTCACCCGGAGTTCGGTCCGTCGGATTTCCGCTCCGTCGCCGGTGATAGGATCTCGGACATTATCAGCCGCGGTAAAACCCCGTTCGTCGTCGGAGGTTCAAACTCATTCGTATACTCTCTATTGGCGAAACGGTTCGATCCGGAGTTCGATGTGTTTGGCGGGTCCGGCCCGGTTCACCCGGCCCACCGGGAGTTTCGCTACGACTGTTGCTTCCTCTGGGTCGACGTGTCGCCGCCGGTGCTGAACGAGTACCTGTTCAAGCGAGTCGACGAGATGATGGGTTCCGGCATGCTGGAAGAACTGGCCCAGTGGTTCTCCGATCCCGGAAACCCATTGACTCGAACAGGACTAGCGAAGGCGATCGGAGTTCCCGAGTTTGCTCCGTATTTCCGGTATTCCGGCGACTGCGATGAAACAAGAAAGCGGCTGTACGCGGAGGCGGTGCGGCAAATCAAAGAGAACACCCGGGTGCTAGCGGAGAGGCAACAGTGGAAAATCCAACGGCTTCGAGAGAGATACGGGTGGGACCTACATAGAATAAATACCACGGCGGCTTTCGCGGCGGCGATGGGTTCGGAATCGAAGTCGGAAACCGCCGAGATTTGGGAAAAACAGGTGGTGCAACCAAGCATGAAGATTGTGGAGAAGTTCTTGTTGGAGTAGGTTTTCCAGCTATTTCCAGCTATTCTCACACTCTCTATCAATGTGCAAAATTTCTGATTTTTTTAAAAAAATATTTCACATTTTCCAGTTACTCATTTTGGTGCTTTTCTTTTCCATTGTGAAATTTCAGAGAGAAGAAGAAAAGTTTGGTCGTAGAGAAGCATGGTGGTGGAAGTCACAGGTGTTTGCATCAATGGTCAACCAATTTTGAAGGAGTTTTGGCATTTCAGGCCAAAAATTTCTAAATACTGTACAAAAAAATACAACTTTTCCTCCTCATTTTGGTCTTTTCCATTTTTGGTTCGCTTCTTAACAATGTAGACTTTCTCATAATTTATTTCTATTAATATATACATACCCCTAGTTACATATACTTCTTCGTATCCATTTTCCACGGTCGTTATTATGCCTTATTGAAATTTGAAAACTTGACTAAGATAACCTAATCTAAGAAAATAAATTAACCTAATAAACATTGTTTTGAAATTCCGAAATAGAATTACTATATTCTTCATCACGAAACAGGAGTTATTATTGCAATAATAAAAAACTATTGTCATTAATGATAATGAATACTGTCATAGAGAAGAAACACATTGCAGTACCCTACTCTAAATTCCAAAATCTTTTTACTCATATTTTGGGAAATTTCCCTTTAAAAAATTTATCATTTGTATTTAAATAGAAAACGAACTAAAGTGTGTGCATTTTTTGAAAAATTAAAACACTTTCGTTTAAAGGCTCATTTTGTGACCTCTATTTTTGACTAATAGTCTTATCAATCAAGTTTTCACCAAAAAAATCTAAGTAATTTTTCATACTGTGTCCTGAATTGTGTAATAATAAAAATAAGTAAGATTAGAGTTATTTTTTTGCTTGATTTATTGAAGTTAGTGTATATGACATTTTCATATAATCTTTTCTTATTTTATTAATAAAAACATATTTTAAGTTTAATTTTACTATAATTTAGAAAATTCAACCTATTCAGTCGCTTTAGTCAAAACTTCATAATATTTTAGTAAACTCAACCGAGTCCGTGTATTTCGGTATTACCAAATGAATTGTATCATAAGTCTAGATTCAAAATGAATTTATAGTATATTGAATGAGTTTGTTCTCATTTGAATTTTTGCCAACTCAGTTTAATAGAGTTGAGTTATGACTCAACTAAGCTAGATAAGTTTGAAATCAACTGAGTTGATAATATATTACACCAAGATAGGTTTAGACTCAAATTTTTTGAGAGTTAATGTGAGATATAGTCCTCCACTATTGGGACAATATCTAAATTGGTCCTAATTATTAATTTGATTGGTTTTTATCCTCAACATTAACTTCGTTTCGAGGTAATTAAGCAAACTCAATTATAATGCCAGTAAAAGTCGTATCATATAGACTGTTACACATCTCTTGACACAGGAATCTAGTAATAGTAAGAGTTGGAATTAGTCATGAAAGGATAATTTCTTCTTCCCATCTAATTGAAAATCTCATACATTGCAATCGTGGCAATAAATATTGCCTCTGAGCTTACACTTGACAAAGAAAATATAGATGAAATTAAATTAATGCAAGACTCGATTTGATAAAGAAATAGAAGTTGAGGACCAAATTAATAATATGGGACTAATTAATGGTAATTTTAATTGGATTGATTTTAGTTTCAAACTAGAGCAGACTAGATCAGATCATAATTCATACCATACTAGACTTAAAAAGGCAAGATAAAAACCAGACTAGACATTTACAATTTTAAATTACATATACAACAAACATCTATCAGACCAAATCAGTTCATTAGTCAAAAAATATTTCTGATGATAGTTGCTCATTTTGTTATACCAGGATGAGTTTGGGCTGAATTTAGTAATTAATAATATATTTGACCAAAATTTATGTGTTTTCCTAGAGTATGACTACTTATATTTTTTCTCTAAAATGATGCATGTTAACACAACTTTTATGTTTTTATTTTTTAGCCACAACCTTTTATCGTCTTCAATGATTGTTTCTAGTGTTATGTCATATGTCTTTCCTATGCAATTTTGTCATACCCCATACAAAAAACATATATAGTCATATTTTAGAAAAACTTATGAATTTCGGTAATAATAAACTATAGATCTAGAAAGAAGTGACTGTTAAAAAGAGAAAGTTATTTGAATTCAATGTTTTTCAACCCCGACAACTACCCGGCCTTATGGCCGTGAAAACAACCCCCGATTACAATAGATGGCCGTTAATGGGCTAATTACATGAATTGATTGACCTAAGTATAGAGTGAAAACTGTTTGTTGATGGTCTTGGCCGAGGAGGCTAGGAGGAGGGTGCCTGGCCGAGGAGGCCAGGAGGAGGGTGCCTGGCCGAGATGACCATTCTTGTACAATTTGTCTGATCTTTAGTTCTTGGGGCACATTTGTGGAAGTGGGCTCGTCTGGCCGGGGCACCAGCCGATGGGTAATGCAGTGTCTTGTGATGTTTTTCTTCTATGAGTGTGTGAACCGTGGGGTCCAGACCCATATATTCTATCAAGTAATATTACATTATTTTTCCCTTTACACAATCGAGGTGCAATATATTATGACCCATTGAACTTAGATTGGGTACCGATTGAGTTTGGTCTGATCAACTGGATGTTGTTTAGAAAGTCTCAACTGGATTTAAATCAACTGTGATTATTCTCAACTGAGTTTGGACCGATTGAGTTTAGACTACACTGAGCTAATAAGGTCAAGATAAGTCTAGTCTTAAGTGGGTCGGTGATATTTTAGACCAAGGTAGGTTAGAAAAATGAAATATATTAGCTCAAGATAATTTTGTACTCAATAGAGGTCTAAAGTTTTCAAGAACAAGATATGTTTTTAGATAGGGAGAAAACAAGATATCTTTTTTAGGGCATTCAATATAAATTAATTAACATTGAGTAACGGCTACACTTTTTTCAAATTACTCCCAAATGATATTTTAAAAATGTAGTTGATAAATAATAAGTAATGAATTGAAATACCCCCTCTTTCCTCATGATACGGAATGTTTTGTGTTACAATTCATCAATTAATATATACGTATCAATTAATATATACGTAGTACTTTTTTGAATACTTCTTCTTTCTGTCTCTTAAAACATTGCAGAGCTTAATTAATTGTCATGAAGATTTTTTTAAGTATCATCATGAAGATTTGGAAATCCAAAAGTTCTGATTACTCTTATCTTGAAGAGATGAATGGTATGAACTATGAGCCATCTTTTTTATTCTTGAAATGAAATTTGTTTTTAATTAATTATATATATGATGAAGAATTATAGGGTGGATCGTTATGATGGTTGGAGCGGTTAATTATTAGATTTGAATTCAAATATCTGTTTGTGTTTTAAACTTTATAAAGTAGTACTTTTAAAATAGTTTATGAACATAAAATATTCCTAAAACTGACAAATTGCTACTAAACAACTTCCGTGTTCATATTTCATTTTAACTTTCTTTGGGTATGTCGTAGCAAACCCCCCTTTAATTTTTCATTTATAATTCACTTTGATATGATGTGGGCCCTATTTGAAAGATAATTGCGGAGAAATGGGAGAATAGATTTAGAACATAATCAACTTAATTATTTTGAATAACTGAATGAACACTACAAAAAACACGGGACTGATAGGAACTTTTAGCAAGGATTTTCCAAAATTGGCAGGATTTTGGCAAAGATATGTCAAATCTGTGCCAAAAGTAGTTTGGCACGAGCTATTTGGTACGAAATTATTGATAAATTTGTGTTAAATCCGTGCTAATATCGTAATTTTTTTGTAGTGGAATTAAGATTTAAGTCGGTTTTCTTATAATAAATAAATGTATATATGGAGTGTAGTAAAGATGTCTTTTAAATATTCATATAGTCGTTAGTTTATATGATTACAAAAGTTTCATTTATATTCGTTTTAGTCAAAAGTATCTTTCAGATTGCTTTTTTTAATATTGATCGGAAATTTTGTCAATGGAGTAACAATTTATTGACCACTAAAAGAGGATAAGGCATTATGTGACTATATTTTTAAATAATAATCATGTAATTAGGCTTTTGCAAGTCATTGTACATGTCATCGCTATTATCTAATACTCAGTAATAAATAAATAGTTAAATACTCCCTATTACTTATTGACGGAATTCGCTAGCATATGTACCGCTAATGTGAATCACTATCAAACAAGGCATTGGTCCTTCATTTTAGCCGCGATATAATATAGAATAATTACACATTTAATATTTATGACTGAAATTTTTTATTACAAAAATGTGATCTTTAGTCATAGTATGTGACTATGTGGTAACCGTAGTCATATTTATGTTCAGTTTATACACATAAGGGACAATGATATTATTCTTTATGTTCCATTTAAATGCTTACATTTTTCTTTTCGTGAAGTTGCATTTAAATTTTTACGTTTCCTTTTTTGATAACTCTTTTACATTAAACTACCCTAAATACCCTTTATAAATATCTTATCCTTTATAAGGTTTAAATATGTTTTAGTCCCTACAAATATGGTAGAGTTGGTTATACAACCTTGCAATTTTTTATACTTGAAATTTATGTTAGTTTGGTTATAACAATCTCCGTTTGACAACGAAACAACCCCGAGTAATAGATTTCCTCTAATTATTTATTATATTTTTCAAAAAGATATAGCCCATCATCCGCCACAACACAAATTACATGCCACCTTGTGCCCTGTTCTCATACGTTATAGGACATTGCACGTATACTAGCTTACATTTGACATTTATTGCTATTATAAATAGCCCATCTTTGAACATATGTAACGATTTCAAAACTAATTTAATTGAATCGTCTTTCTCTCCACATTTAGCTCTACCTTCAATTCTCAGACAAACTCAAAGTTTCTAATGACATAAAAAGTGATATTAAAAAATTTAGAGTGGGATATCGGAAATCGTCTTAGGATAATAGATGTTATGATTATTGTTCACTAAAGGATTCCTGTCAAGATTGGATTCATTCTTAGAGATACAATGTGTATTAATTTACGAGCAACAAAGCTCAACACTTGGTCAAGGGCGGATGTACTATGGGCGTAGGGGACAGCTGCCCCCACTCAACTGTTACGTATCCTAAGTATGAGTTGGACAATAACTACATGAGTGGAGGAGGGTGAGCTGGCAGCTAAGTATCGTCCAAGTTGAATATGATCATTCTTCTTCCCTAATTTCTCTACTTCCCCGTTCGAATTCATTACTCATTCAATTTCTAGTTCTCTTGGCGTTCTCGGTTAAATACCCTGAAAACATAACAATTGGTATCGTGCACTCATCTTGGTATTCACATTCCGTCATTTTAAACCTACCAATTGAG